TTTTAAAAAGATAACTTCTAGTGTTATAATAGTTTTCTTATACTGACCCTTTGGACTTGAGGTGACGGGCTCCTCTTTAGTCACACTCTCTTTCACCTTCTGCAGTGTAAAGGTGAACCTCGTCGTCCTTGAGGAGTGAAAATAAAATGAAGTTTGTTCTGTTCATGAACACAAAGTATTTGTAAATGTGTAACTTACCTCCATCGTTGCAAAGACACGACTGGGCCAGAACAGTTCAACTAGTTGAGTCTTCTTCCTAATGCCAGAGACACTGCTTTAGTCAAAATGCAATGACCTACATAAACAATGTGTATCACAATAAAAGTTGTACATTTGAAGTGAAAAAAGAAACTAAACAGTTCACTGTCTGGAGTTTGTGCACATTTAAAAACTTGATTTATTTGGTAAATGACATGATTACAGAGGCAGAGAAGCAGATGAGTAAATAAATCCGAAAGAAAGAGTGCACAGTGCATGAGCACGCACAGAATAAAGCAGGATGTGGGTTAAAAGAAAATGGATTTATGTGAAAACCAAAGCAACTCTTTTGCTGCCAAACTCAGTATATGGGTTTTAATAATATTGTGGACTGTTCCTAGTCCAGTCCTCACCTCATCCCCGACACACCTCATTGGATCTAATCTTTCCCGCTAAAACTTAGCGGGCGGTCACAAAGGACTCTTAACTTTGAGACCCCCACCCCAGTTCTCCCAGTTCTTCCAAGAGAGAAACTCAGTGGGAGCAGACAGAGAGAGAGAGACAGAGAAACTGAGCAACTCCTTTAAAAAAGACTTTCCACAAGGGACAACGTCCGAGAACTTCTCTATGCAACAAGTTCACACTCGTCTTTTGACTTGTTTTCATTCCAATCACTGTAGCTGATTTGACCGAAAGTGAAGCTTTCATATTTTTCCAAATTCAAATATTTGCATTTTTGTATCCAGTAGCCTTTTGATTAATTAATTAGCCTTAATGAGATGACCAGCACTATCAGACCTCATGGACACTTGTGCTCCTCTTTAAATATGGATGAAACACTGCTCAAGTCGGAGTTACTGTTTAGTTCACATGGCCTTCATCTGTCCCAGCTCGTCTGATTCTTCAGAACCAGTGTCAATGTCAGACCAAACCTGGAGAGACTAAACCTGTGTGGGATGGGGTATATGGGAGGGGTGTTAAGAGAACCCAACTAATATAATTACATAAAACCAACAACGCCCTGGGCAGAGCCCAGAACTAAAAAAAAATTACTAATAAAGGCCACAGGTTCGTTCTTGAAGAGACAAGTGACTTACAAAACTGAAGTAATTTATTATGCCATAATTCATTTGTTTTCTTGTTAGATTAACTTTAAGAGTCGACTATTCACTGTTCACATAACTGCCGATTAAAAAAGTCACAAAAGCAGCTGTACAGTGATTTTCCTTAAAATAAAACAAACTGTGACGGAGCGCCTGTGTGCCGTCATTCCGACTGGTGCGTCTGCATCTGCCAAGAGCACGACGCTCCTTCCTCCCCGTTTGCGGAGCTAAGCTCGTTAGTCTGGTTATGCAGGAAGCTCGGTGTCTCGCGGTCTGTTTTTCCCAACATCTGAACGGTTCCCGCTCGTGCGTTCGAGCTGCACACTCGACGGAGCTGTTTCCTACCTGCAGCAGCCTCCGCGCCGTTCTGAGTTTAGGGCCAAACCGAGGCAACTTTCTGGTTGTGCTTTAAATAGCGCATAGTGGCGCTCAAGGGGACATGTATCGTGGACTCGACCATTGTGTCTATTGGGGTCATTTGTGGGTTTTTTGAAGTGTTTAATGAAACTTATGTTAAACCTTATGAGGGGTTCTTTAAGTTATTTTTATTATTTTATTTCCAAGTTGATTTGTGTCAAACAATTTTGCTTATGTTAATTCTTTAAAAAACCCCATTTTGTTAATTGGTTTAGCCCCGGGGGGAGGGGCTAAGGGGTATTAAAAGGGGCTCTAGTCATTTGCAGTGGGTATTTGGCCTGACTACGTGGGTGCTGCAACTGTAAGTGATTAGTGTACATATTTTTTGTAAATACTTTGTCTACCACCTCTTTTTTTTTTTGGTCACTGTAAATATTTCACTCTGCACTTGGAGCTGTGGTGCGAATAAAAACCCACTTAAGTGAAGTTTTTTTTGACTGAAGCCATCATTTTTACATTTATTTCGGACGAACCGTGACACACAGTAAAAACAAAGCAGCAGCTCGTTCACAGGGCCACCGCTCCACCAGATGAGTGCCAAAGACAGCCTGGACTCTAAAATGAACATTATGATTCATCTGGCAGTAGCCTCATACATGAACCCTAAACCAGTGACCAGCCAACGTACACAAAACACACGCTTCTAAATCACAAGCTTGACGCTGAGCGGCAGGCATCTGACGCAACACCGACCCAACCATGGAGAGCACAGTGGCGCTGTAGCGATCAACAGCAAATACATGCAGGAGTTTACTCACGAGCCATAAACTTCAATCGGGCACATCGGGACTCTAGGAGCGGTGGCACTACAATAAAGCCACACATTTAAATTATAAAATTGCAACTGTAATTAGAGAACAGGTTGTTTACTGTGCGCGACAAAGGCGGAGCCCATCCCGAAGTGCGCCGAGGTCAGAGAAAAGATGCTATGGGGAGTGCCCTTTTATAAGCCCAGGAGCCACCTGGTGGCAGAAGGCAGCAAGCGCCACAGCTACACCTTGAGAGAGACTAAACCTGGAGAAACTACACCTGGAGAGATTACACCGAAGGACTGCACTGAACATCACTCTCTCCTGGTCACATGCACATGTCACAGAATGGTTTACTTCATCAATTTAGACTCAGTGCATAACTTTATATAACTCTTAAAGTCGTGCCTAATCTCAGATCTGTAGACACCAGTCGAGGATCACCTACACTCATCTGCATATTTCATATTTAAACACTTCTGTTTAACTTGGTCAATAAATTTTCATGAACCACAGTTTGATTTGGGGAATAGTGATGTTGTTTCAGATATGGCTCAGTGAAATGGACAAGAATTTTACAAACCTTCAGAACAATTGTTTATTTAAATATTGATAAATTAATGAATGTAGGTAATTTATTCTATTGTATTGGTAATATTTGTCAACATTTGTTGAGTGGTGCCCCAGAACTCTTCTTCTAGTCAGAGTTAAACTCACAAAGGCCACGTGAGTGCTGCTTTAACTTAGAACTTAGTGGAGCTGTTAAGTATGTTTTTATTTATGTAGTGTTTCACAGTCATATGTCACAAAGACACTTTACAAAGCATTCTTCATTCACTCCACGCCAAAAAACACTGAACATTGGGGATTATTAACATGGACCAGGACCAACATGTGTGGATATAGAACCAGGCCTGGAGCCTGGAGCCGAGGACTGTGCATGTCACAAAACGGCTCAGGTTGAGCTAAATTACTGCTTAAACCACCTTTTTTGGAAAAAGATGACATGGCTCTTGTCTGGGTTTGGGACACATGGTTTGGAGCAGCATTGTCCAGTACATATTACAACAGGTTGAAATGAAAGAGTTCATTCATACCTCAGTGCCCACGGACGCACCCGGGATTCTGTAAAAAGAGAAGAGAAGTTAGCAGTAGTTCCCGGGTTTATAGAGCGACTCAGACAGTCTCACCCCACTGTGCATCTTAAAATCAAACATGACAGGACATGACATGATCAGAGAATACAGCATCACCAACAAAACTATTATCCCCAGGAAGACTATAAGACAGTGCAAGGTCTAAAGTGTCTGTGAATCTGCGTAGGACCAGTGGCATGTTGTTTTAAATTAAATCCATCAACTAAATCTAAAATTTCCCTCGCCATGACTTTAAAACCTGTTCCCACCTCATTTTAGCATGTGCACGATAGTAATACATATCCAAATGCCAAAGCTTATTAAAAAAACAACAACCTTAGAACCCACATGCTTGTGTGATGCATCATTTTAAAGCTTAGACCTTCTACTTTCTGTAGATATGCACATGAAGACTGTGAGTGCTCGATAACCTACAGCACAGTCATTTAAAAATGTCTAAATATTGTATTTTTTTGCTTCGGAAAAAAATTTGAAAAAAAATAAAGGCCCTAGTGTGGGCATACTTCATGCTAGACATTTGTCACTCACTACACTCACTGTTCATGTTGTTGGTAACAACTGTGTAGAATTTCAGATTTCTAGGACTAAGGGTTTTGATGCTGTGAGCCTTTGTGTAAACAAAATGACAATTCGGCACAAGAGTGCCAAATTTGTGCCAAAAATAATAATAATAATATTATAATAATAATATTGTTATATTTTATAATTAATTCTTCTGAGCTTTAGGCATGTTTTCTCAAGAAAAAAAAACTAAAAGTAGCCAAAATTGTCTTCCAAGTGGCTGTTCTGCTACTACTACTACTGCTCTCTGTGTCTCTCTCATCGTCTCTCGGCTGCGCGTATAAACACAGGGTCCGTTTCCCAATACAATCTGAATGTCCCACCCACCGTTTGGAAAGCTCTGGTGATTGGCTAAAACAATATGTCAATCACTTTCTGGAAGAACCAATGACTGAAGAGATTTGACGTAAACAACAAACTGATGACGCGTGCAAAAGCCAGGAAGTACGTGAGTGCGTTCCAGCTTCTTCAGCGGCTTGTGCTCCACCTAAACCCCGCCACCGACAACTCCCGGAGGGGTGTCATTTTGAAGACAAGAGTGTGAGGAAAACAAGCGCACCCAAGAGCGGGAGAGAAAGTGAAAGTGAGAGCGGGAGAAGAGGCGGAGAACAAAGACATAATATTTTCATTCACAGATTCATCCATTCATACGGACGACGATTTTCTGGATTATTTACCCACATGGAATTATTTTTTGGAAAAACAACTTGATATTCTTTTTCTGTGGATTATTACGGATTTATTGAGTACAACTTTTCATGGATTGAACGCGTTTTGGACCGACAGAACCGCTCAAAGTTAAGAAACGCGTATCTTATTCTTTGTTTATGATGTGAATTTTTTAAAATTCACATAAATTCGGCTCGTTGTACGGCATAAAATTAATGATATGGTTGATTTATTGAGAAATTAAGCTTTCAAATGATGTATGGCCAGTAGTGAAAACAATAATGAAGGTGAAAATACAGAGTGAACATTTTTTTTTTATTGGCAAAATCGCCCACCGGTGGGCGGGTGGGAGATAGACAACACACAGGACAACATAAAATCCTGTCATACCGAGTCAACCTCAAAGCCATAAAATCAGAAAAGTCTTTAATAAAATGTCGGTTGTGCTTAGATGGTCTGTAAACGACACTGGATCAGTCTGTTGTAACTCAAGTTCTAAAAAGAGTTCTTTAAAACAGTGACAATACCGACGCTGCGACCAGTGGTTCTGGAAATGTTGACAAAAGTGCAGTCGGGAGGTAAATGCTCTGAAAAGACAGTAGACTCACTGGTGTTGATCCACGTCCAAGTTAAAGACCGTAAACAGAAGATACATATGAAAGCCTGTTGTGACACATCTTGCATTTAGAATGCGTATTGGTGAAGTCACAGTCCATTAGCCTCTGCTGTACCCGACCCAGCCGGAGTGAGAGCGGAAGCCGGGCGCAGCACTAACCCTCCACGTCCAACGAGAGCCAGGCACCACCACCAGTGTTTAGAGTAAATTGTTATAAAAATAACGAGTTCCTGTACTGCGTTGCTTTTTGCTGTAATGCAGTAAAGTGGCATTACAGGAAAAAACTGTAATATTTTCCTGTGTACAAATGTGAGTGTCGCGTTTCACATTTGCATTTTTAAGATGGACTGAAGTGGTGAGTTTTTTGTTTTATTACATACACATTCACTAAAGTCACAGTGATATCAGCAGTGGTAACAGAGTGTCGGGACGGTCCGAAGCCCGCGGTGACCAGACCGTGACCGACGCAGAACTCTACGCTCCACGAGACGAAGAACAGCCGACGCCCAAAGCTTTAGCTGCTCCACGAACTCAGGGTTCACTCAGGAAGTCCGAGTGTTAGTCCAAGTTTAGTCCTGGTTCAGTTCTTTTGGTGAGAGTTAAAGTTCTGTAATATTGGTGTCATGTTTTATATTTTAAATACAGTTATACTGTATTGAATGAGTTTGAAATGACAGTAACATGTAATAAATAAATAACACATTACAGTTTTGAAGTCACTCGCCCAACAGCACCAGCCACACCTCAGGTGGAACAGGTGTGCACCTGGAGACACACCGGCACAGACAGTTTGTGTAATCCCATGGAAAAGAAGAGAACAACGACAAGTCGGGAGACCAGCTCACACTCCTCTGTGTTTGTGCTTCTTTAGCATAAAGAACATGGAGGACACGAGCAAGAACATGTGTCAGGTAGAAAGAGTCTGACATGTTTGTGTGATAAATAGAACATGAAGTAAGATTTTCTCTTAATTAAACAACTCATTGTGATCATGATTCATGCACCAGCAGAGACCTGATGGTTTTATGACAGTCGATAAAAACAATATAAAACTGATAAAACTGAGCAGAGCCAAGAGGCGAACCAGGCACCTGACATCTTCAATCATGTGCTCATCATCATCACAACACACACACAGAGTCTCACTCACACACACACACACACACACACACACACACACACACACACACACACACACACACACACACACACACACACACTCACACCGCTGCAGTGTGTGCACAAATACAAACACCAAATCTTGGACAAAAAAACACATCTTTTTCATCACTATTATACACTTTTGAATAAAAATGATGAAATAAGTGAAACCTTTAGTTTCAGTGTCTCAGAGGTTTGAGGTTGTTTTTTGCAAGAGCCACATTCAAAACAGAAACTCAAAACAGGAAAAACTGGTTAGTAGCAAAACACTGGCTGGAAACGCTTAGTACAAAAGCTCAGTTTGTTTTGATTAAATTTCATGATAATTTAAGTTTAAAACCTGCTCTCCTGTTTCAACATGTCTATGGTACAAACACAGAGACTCTGTTAAAGTATTTTTGTAACACTGAAGTGTTTCAGTCTGAACTCACTGTGTTTAAACAAGGGATGTACCAATCACATTTTTTTGCCCTTGAGTCCGAGTCCAAGTCCGAGTCATTTGATTTTGAGTATTTGCCGATACCGAGTCCTGATCCGATACTTTACGATACTATAAAATATAAATGAACTAAGAGCAAAGAATCAGATCCAGGATGTTTGAGGATCAGATTGTGTTGATTTCATGTGTCGTATTTGGGCTGAACTTGTGAAAAATCAAATGTCCAAAACTTTCATTTTATTCACTTTTCTAAACATGAACCAAACTCTAAACATGAAGCATCAGTGTTGAAGATCTTGATTTTTCACAGTCTTGGAATGTGTCACTTATTAAACTTAATGAACTGAACAAAACAGAACCAGAACCAGACCAGACCAGACCAGACCAGACCAGACCAGAACCAGACCAGACCAGACCAGAACCAGACCTGGACCAGACCTAGACCAGACCAGACCAGACCTGAGACTCGACTCTGCACAATCTACACTTTGGAGATTTGATATTATATGGAAACGTGCATTACACCACATTTGAAACATTTAGGCTCGTCTGTGATCTCTAAATAATACAAATTCTTACCAAATAAAAACGAGACGACAGAAACTCCACAGCCTCTCTCCCCCACACCGCCACCACGCATGTTTGCAACATGAAAACAAACAGCACCGTGTGACAACAGCAACGGCCGTGCAGATGTGAACACGGGCCACAGAACCACAGGCAACAGCGCCCGAGCACGACACAACCCAAAAGTCCCAGCGTAAGTGTCTCTATTAGAACAGGCGCTGGGACAGACAGACGCACTGACTGGACGTCCCTGAACAAATCCTGCGCCTCAGTAAAAAAAACAAAAAAAAACCCAAAACTGTTGTGTTCTGTGCGTTATATATGTATATTATTTATCCGACGCCTGATCGGAACATAACGTTTGAGTCCAGATCAAGTCCGCAGTCACATGATTGGCGCCGATTTCCAATCACATGATCGGATCGGGACAACTCTAGTTTAAAGTCCTTTTCTAACAGTGAAGTGTTTCAGTCTGGACTCACCATGTCTGAAAAGCAAAAACGAAGTGGAGAAAAAGGTTCTTTAAAAGCTGATGGAGCTTCAGCTGTAGATCTCAGAGCAGGAACCAGACGCTCTGATGAGGAGAGGAAGAGGAGGGAGATATAAAGTGATGCAGTGACGTAGTGGGCAGAGAGTGGAAGGGCAGGGCTGATGTTCATGTGACTGGGTGTGTGTGTAGGTGTTTTCCAGACATCTATTTATATCTATTTATTTATTTATTTGAGACAGGGACAGCGCACAATGTTTACATTAACCTTAACAGGAGATGTTAATTTCCACCTGTCATGTCTGTGCAGGTTCATTGATTGATTATATTTAACTGACTTTAACTATCAACTGTTCATGGAGACGTGTGTCATGGCAGGACTCAAGTTATGTGCACACATGTTCTGGTTTGAACCCAATTTGAGCACTATTGTGTGTGGTCTAGTCTAGTCCTGGTCTAGTCCTGGTCTA